AATTCGAGCCGTACGAGGACAGTCCGTTCAGTACGGATGAGTACGAGAGGGAGAAGGTGAGGAGGATGTTGGTGAGCTGGAGTGGGAGGAACACAGTGAGGAGGGTAGGCGTGGCGCTTTCGGGAACGTTGGGCATGTGGGCTGCACTGGGATAGGCGAAAGCTCGACGGCGGAGCGGAGGAACGTACATGGAGAATCTGTACGCGCGTATTTGTTGGATTGAATGCAAGTCGACCCGCGTCGCTGTACAGCTTGTCGGGGGATGTTACGCCTCAGATCGGGAGCTCATATCGAAAGGCCTCTGGAGGGCTATACTGGCAATCACGACTGACTTCGCACGACAAGCGGGAGTTGACCGCTTCTCGGTCGAGACAGCGTATATACTATGGGAGCGATCGCGGTTTGTTGCTTACCGCATGCGCAGTACATAAGTCTCTCGGTCTCATCGGGCATGGCACTGTCTCCATGTTGGAATCGCTCACAATACTTACTATGTGTAGTACCTGGCCAGCAAGACTGGGGAACTACGGCGGAATCGATTGAAGCATACCTGCTGGCGAGATTTCGGACTATCAAACTACGTTACCTGGACGTCAAGACTTGGGAAGTTGATACACGCGCTGTACGTTCTCTCGTTGTTGTTACTTTCACATCTGGGGCCCACTAGGCGACCTGTGCGGCCGACGAACTTTGGCGCGTGCCTGCTCCGACCGCATATGGTGAGATGTGAGCAGCCCACTACATCTGTAATCACCTCTCAATCTGCCTATCACGTTATACACCCGAGAAACGCACAGCATGGAATGAGATGTGTGTCCCTCGATTTATCAGCAGCTCGATGAGTGCTGGATGGCAGCTGTCGATCTCCAGGGAAGCGTGCAAATGACGCCACAGCTGCTTCGGCATGCAGTGTGTCCGTAAAAGATGATTCCAACAAGGTCGCAGGGTAAAGTAAATGTTCACTGATCAACCCTTTCGTTTGCGACTCTCTTCATTAGGCCGACATTCCAATCATTCGATAAGATGGCACCTCTCAACAAGGCCCAAGATCTTTTTAACGTCAATGGCCTAGTAGACGTCGTAACCGGCGGCGGAAGTGGGCTAGGACTTTATGCAGCGAGAGCATTGGACGCCAATGGCATGTTACAAGTCTCGACGCGCCCGGAAAGTGCTCACACTAATAGCATCTCGAGGTGCGAAAGTAGTCTACATCATAGGCCGCCGACAAGCCACCCTCGACGCCGCCGTCAAAACAGGCGTCAACGGCAGCATCAAGGCAATCGTCGGCGACGTCTCGAACAAAGATGACCTCCTCCGCATCGCCTCCCAAATCCGCCAGGAAGTAGGCTATATTAACCTCCTCTTCGCCAACGCCGGTATCTCAGGCCCTCCTGCTGCCTCTCTGCTCCCTCAGTCCGGCCCACCTGCCTCAATAGCAGACTTCCAACGCCTTCTTCTCGAGTCTTCGATGGAGGATTTCACGCAGACCCTTCACGTAAACAACACGGCAGTCTACTACACCGCGCTAGCCTTTCTGGACTTACTGGATGCTGGAAATAAGAAAAGGAATGTACCGCAGGACTCGCAGATCTTGGTCACTACGTCGATTGCGGGCTTGTCAAGGCACCTCGCCTCGTCATTTGCGTACAGCACATCCAAAGCCGCTGCCAATCATCTCGTCAAGATGCTCTCAACGCACTTCTCGCAGTCTGGCTACCACATTCGTGCTAACGTCGTAGCGCCGGGTCTGTATCCTTCGGAGATGACGGAGAAGGTTACGGGGTCTATGGAGAAGTTCAAGGGTGTGGAAGGGCACGAGGAAGCTTTTGCTGGGGCGCATGTCATGGCTAAGGAGAAGAGTCCCGCTGAGCGGACCGGGAGTGAAGAGGACTTTGCTGGGGTGGTGTTGTTTATGTGTAGTCGCGCTGGGGCGTATCTGAACGGGGAGGTCATGGTCACGGATGGGGGCAGGATTGGGGTTCATCCGGGGACCTACTGAGAGAGTCGTGGAAATGACATTCGAAATTGCTGGAGTACCGCAGGAGTGGCGCGTATATATTCGTCGATATACAACAGAGCAGATTTGTTCGGACTTCTTAAGACGCCGAGCCATGCAATATACCCAGTAGTCTGGCCTGACTGTCGCAAAATTGTGATCTTGTATCCTTCGCGGTACTCAACAGTCCTTCAAGGCCGCCTTGGCGGTCAAATCTTATCGTGAACGTTCGCCTCGGATCAGTTCTAGCTTGCTGTCAGGCACACATCCCCTCAGACAAATTCAGATCAGGAGCCACCCACCGCCCTCCGCTTGATAAGCTTCCGAAACCCACTCTCCTTCTTCGCCGGCGCTGCAGTCCCACTGCTCTCTGGTGTGAACGTAGGCTGTACATGATTGATCTCATCTTCCGCCTCGTAGCTCGGCCTTCGAAACGCAGGATGCGTGTTTGTGGGTTCTTGCGGTCCACCGACTTTCTCCTGCGGCAGACCGGCTCTCTCTTGCGGCCCACCAAACCCCGAGGGTCCACCGAAGCCAGAATCGCCGGTCGGCCTGTATGTAGCTGGTCCTGGTACTGGCGGAGGACCGGGGGGAGGAGGCGGGAAGCTGTCTGTTCCTCCAGTCCTGCCCAGCGGCCGTGGGCTGCGGGGCGGCGCGCGATCCTGATTGAAGTGTTGAGGTGGGATTTGCGGCGCACCGCTGCGGCTGTCACGTTGCTGCTCCCAGTTATTGAGCACAGGATTGGGATTCTGGTGGCTGCGAGAGGCCTGTAGGCGGGCGAGCTCGGCGTTCCCGCGGTCGAGGGTTGAGCGGTTTTTGGCTTCGGCTGCTGCTGCTTTCTCGGCGTTGTGGCGGGGGAAGCGGGAGTCGACTTCGTTGTTCAGCGTGCCGCGGAGGGTTTCACCGACGCCCTGTAATATCAGTCAGCAAGCCCTCCCTCGTACATAGGGCTGCGCGTATTGCGAGTAAGATCACTCACGTGCAGACCGATTGCTGCCGATTTCAAATTCTCGAGTGTGCTCTTCGGTCGAGAGGAAGATCCTCCGCCAAAGGACGAAGATCCTCCGCCGAAGCCAAAGCTAGGCTGCGGTGGCGGAGGCGAGGCGATAGGCGAGACCGGGTTCTCGTCATTCCTCAACTCCGATCGACTCGGGTAGCTGAAGTTGTGCTTGTACGGACTTGAACCATCCGCGAACTCTGTGCTTTTCCTATTCGGATTGCGCGCAGGAGGAGACATGCGCGGGTCTTGCCACGTGTCGCTTAGTGGGGGCGCAACATTGTGCTGCGCTTGTCGTTGGCTTTCTGCTATGCGTAGGCTCTCTTCTCGTCTGGGTCTGTCGCCCGGAGCTTCTGCAATCTCGGGATGTTCGGGATGCGTCGGCTGGGCGTTCTCTTGTTGCTGTCTGTGCGTTTCAACCTGAACTGTGGTGCCTTTCTTGCCAGCGGCGGCGCCCTTATGGACTGTCGTTGTCGTTGTGGTAGTAGTTGTGGTTACTGTACTCACGACCTCGCCAGTCTCGTGGTCGAAGACCTCGCCTGTTCGGTTGTTCACGTCCAAGTTTCGGTCCTGTGAGACACCCTCGATCCTGCCATTGTTCTCAATGGGCTGTATGTCTGCCCTCGAGTTGCGCTTCGACGAGGGTCCATCACTGGAGGCATATGCCGAATCCGCCGCAATGCCGCCATTCGTGCTCGTCGACCACTGGTGGTTCAACTTCTGATCCATGGCTGGCGGCGCAAGGTCCTCTTTCTTCCCGCCTCCGAAGAGATGAGATAGGCGTCGTTTCTTCTCCGGTGTTGGAGGTGATTGGACGGGATTACTGTACGGTGGCATAGTACGGGTATAGATGAACGAGATAGATGAGATGGCGCCGTACCGCTCAACTTACTCCACAAGGCCGATATGAGCCTCAAACTTGGCCAAGACCAACATCCCTCGATGGAGTCGTGGAAGGGTGACGTAGGAACCCCCCGCTGGATCGGGCAGAAGATCGACTAAGGACGCCACGAACCAAGCTCGACTTTGCATGTGCGAGGCTCGGTATCTTCTGCTATGACAGTATGAAGCATAGAAAGCAGCATCTTGTCAGGAGCACGGTGTGTAGTCGACGCCTGATGCAGAACGTGAAACGGCTAGGGCTGATCGTTGACCATCACTGTCTTTCACAGGACTTCTTCGGGCTTACTGTACTGCATCAGAGCATTGCTGGATTGGTGGGGCTACGGACAATAGCACTTCTCAATTACGGATGGTGTGTAGCCGCGCTAGGCGCGGCACGTACCGCGGCCCGCGCCCTTCCCTTCAACTACATGGCGACGACGAGGTTTCTTTCGAACGGCGTTCGCTCTTCAGCGGTGGGAGGCGGTGGGAGGCGCTTCACAACAAGTTGCTGCCCCTACCTCGGGCTCCTGCAATTAGATAGTTGGTCGGGTCGCCGTGTAGCGCAGGCTACGAGGCGCAATTCAGCAAAAGTGTCACACGTACCATAGCACCGAGGCGCGTTACGGCTAACTTACTTTACTTAGGTTCCGTGGCGCGAAAACGCCACCTACTGTCCGCAATTGAGAAGTGCTACTGTCCGTACGCCCACCGCTCGGCATCTTCTGAGAAAAAGGTCGAGCGTCGTCTGAAACGGAGCACGATGCGGTCAAGTCGACGAACACACCCGTGCACACCCTGCGATACGCCAAGGGTCTTGTTTTCGTCTGTCCGTTTCGTCCAGGCGTTGTTCGGACTTACCGCATTGATGCATTGCTTTCCTGGACACTTCTCAGGCTGCCGCTGTCATCAGAATGTGGATCCACTGCCACATGCTTGTCCCGCATGAAGCGGGTAGTCGCGCTGTCCTGGAATCCTTTGCTCCAGACCCACGCCATTCAAGGTGGCGTTCGAACAACAGGACATTGGTTCAAGCCTCCGGCGTGCGTCGCTTCTGGGACTACTTGGTCCATTCGTTGAGATCTTGATTTATGTTTGTTATATTTTACCCTTCCCCTAACCTTCGGCACTCTGGCGGAGTGGTTAACGCGCTGCCCTGCTATCCTATCAGAGTAGTAAGCAGTCCTAGGCAGTTCCTTCGGGAGCGTGTGTTCGAATCACACGGGTGTCGCATACGTTTTGTCGTTTTGCTGCTCCTGCGAACAGGAGAGACAGATGCTGGGCGCAGAGGCTTGTTCTGGGCGGCGGGGGTGCGTGGATGGGCAAGTTCTAATCTGGGAAGGGCATCGGGAACTCGGACACACGAGTATTTTCATTGTACGGTCTATTGAACATGAAGGCTGTAGATCGACGCCTGTTCTCGGCTCCTTGTGCATGTCGAGGCTCACAACTTCGGGATGAACATCGGCGTGTTCTTCTTCCACTCCTGGTAGTCTTTGCGGTCGCCATAACGCTTGTCGTACTTGTTCTCGCTCAGCGGGATGCCGGAGACCTGGACTGCAGTTAGCGCGATGCTCAAGATCCTCTGATCTACGATTTAAGCCTTACCTTCAGCAACAAGAACGTCACAAACGCCGGGCTGACACCTGCCATAGCAAGTGCACCAACCTTCCCAGCAAGCCCACCGCTGAACCCCATCCCTGCCTGCCCAACGCTCGTCAACATCACGCCCGCAGCAGTCGTAGCAATGCCAGTCCACAGCGTGCTCTCGCCGAAGTAGTTCGGATGCCGGCTCTTGCTCCACAAGCCTCTCGTCAAGAAGTCCTCGCTGTGCTTCTTCTCCTTCTTCTCCTTCAGCCATTGCGTCTTCTGCCTATCAGCCGTAGCCTCGAACGCGATGCCGCCGATGTAAAGTGCAACGCCCAGAATGTCCGTAATCGTGAAGAAAGGTAGAGCGGCGAGGGCCGTGGCGGGGATCGAGTTCAGGGCCAGGACGGGCATGAGGCAGAGGGAGACCCATGTCGCTTGTGCGAGGAAGGCGCCGAAGAACTTGGGTGGAGAGCCACGAATTTTGTCGAACCGCGAGTCCTTGCCGTCATCTGCTGTGATGCGACCGAAGAGGAAGCTACCGAGCCGTACTGCCCAGAAGGTCACAGCTGCGCTCAGCACGACTTGTCGCCAGTTCCATGCATTGATGCCGCCTTTGCTGGTCAGACTCGCAAGTAGACTTGGGTACGCCGGTGCCGTCGCTGATGTCAAGGCTGCATAGCGAGCTCGTAGCGTGGGGAGATAGAGTGACAGCGCTGTGCAGGAGATGTAGGTCAAGCTGCCGGAAAGATCGTAGAAGCGCTCTGTCTGGAGGAAGATCGAGGGTATGGCTGCGGCGGCTTGGATGCCGAATGCGAGGCCTATGCTGGGGACAAGAGTGCGAAGGAAGGGGTTGCGGTACGCGGTTAGGTTGAGGAGCGTATGGACGAGGGAGGACATTATGATGGATGTTGGGGTGAGAAAGATGTGTGAAAGTACTTGAGGAGAGTAAGGGAGGAGGGATAGTACTTGTGCCTTTCTGCGCTCGCGTTCACACGCGTGCGGCTCGCAGTCCTAACTGCATTGGAATGGTATACAGAGTGCTCTACTGTGACGACATCGCGAAGTCTCGGGTTCTTCGGAACCGGAGACGGCTCCATCCAGGCCAAGCACCGTCAACATCATACTGGCGTCGGCGACATGAAGTATTCTCGAAGGATTTGTCAGTCTCCGCGGGCATCTACGTTCATGCCGCTCCATTATCGCCTCCCATGCATCATCCATCCAGCGGACTGGCGATCGCGAAGGCTAGTCTAATGACAGGGGGACGAGATGCTAGAGACACAGTGCCGAGCCTGCAGTGCAGAGTCGTGAAGGTACCTGCCACAGGATGGCCATGTCCTGCGACTGAGGAAGGAATGGGTCTCTCGAGTGCGGGATGAATTTCATGCCCTAAGGACCTACGACCCCAGGGGTGGTTGGAGAAGCCCATCGGATGGACCCAGCTAGTGGCTCACGAAGTCTGCTCTCCCGATCAGTACTGTGCGAACTCTCCTCTTGGAAATGTGGTAGCTCCTTGGACAGGTCGCATTGGTATAGCCCTGAGACAGATGCATCATCGAAGTACGAGGACACCGTCCTAGAAGTCTGGCAACGAATCGGAGAGATGGCATTTCGTCTAGTGCAAACCCGTCCTCAAGCGCATTGAATACAGGTAGGTTTCCAAGTCACTACCGACTGTACCTCACAAGTGTCCCTCTCTTCTCGTGCAGACCCACAGCATCGAAGAAATCTGCTTGATAACGCGACCCTACTGATCAAGCACGAAACTTCACGATGGCATAACACCAAGCTCAGACGCCTGGTCAACGCACAACACTGCTAGACATGCCCCTGGATCTCGTACAGTCCATCGCCGAGTACTTAGATATGACACCAACACTCAGGGTGACTTGCAGTGACCTGAAGCAGCTTCCCTCACCGAGTTTGCCAAAATCTATGTGTCTAGCTTACACTGCTTTATTCTCGACACGAAACGTTGGCACCGAGTGCGCAATCTTATTGGCAGTCGCCGCCTCGCGCCATACATCCGCGCCATCGACTTCACTTCCAGCCCACTTGAGCACCGTCTGACTTCGGAAACACCCACCGCTGCGGTGAGACAGGAGGAGACAATGACCAAGGACCAGGCAAACCTTAAGAGCCAACTGCTGAAGACAGCGATCGCGGGCGCAACCACTGCATATGCCCAGCGCATCTCTGATTATTCAAGTTTTCGAAGCCATCAAAGGTCTTCCTACTGCACCGTGGATCTGCTTGGACTTGACTGCCAGCCGACTAGAGCAGACGACCGTCCATCGAGACGTGTACCTTGCCCTCGCTACAATTAGCATACCGTTGGAAAAGTTAGCAGTCAATCTCGCCAGCCTCTACGGACTTGAGGACTTTGTTGATTCAGATTTTGAGACTGGCGTGCTCGCCTGCTGTGGGAGCCTCGATGAGCTCAACGTCGATTTTCAGCACGAATTGGCAGAGAAACATGAATCAAAGAAGTCCATGGCTGCTCCTGCGTTGCCGTGTCGAATGATAGTGGCCGCTCACAATCTACAAATCCTCAAGATCCGCATGGATTTGTTCGAGGGGCTGATCAGTCTTGAGCACACCCGCCAAGTCGTGCGCTGCCTACTCGTGCTAGAGCCGGGGCCGGGTCTGCGGCTGATGGAGCTGTCGGGCATTAGTCTCAAACTCGAAACTCTATTCAAGGCTTTCGATCACAGCAATTCGACCGTAAGGACTCTGGTGCTTGAGGACATTGACTTGACCAGCGCTGAAGGCGTTGGGTGGACTACTATGCTGCCGTCTGTGTCAATGCTACCGCATCTGAAGGGTCTCAGCGCAGCAAGACTTTACGATACCGATGCCCGAATCAACAAAGGCTGGATGTTCGCAGGCACAGAAGAGCGCAAAGAGTAGACGTCACAGGCACAGCTTAGGCAGGGTGTGCAGGCGTTGTTGAAAGAGAACGCGGACGCGATGGAGCACGATTAGGCCACGCCCCGACATGTACAATACATCGGTTTCATCAACTGTATCGCCGACGACCCTTCGCTCTCGTCACGCCGTCAGGTATAGCATCGCTTGAGATCCTCGCAGTGCACATTGCCCTCTCGAAAAACCCTCAATGATCCCTCAGCTTCCGCAGTGCAATCGATAGGCGCTTAAGCACAGAGGCGATAGAGCTGAGAGTGGAGGATACTCCAAGAGAGCGAGTTCAGGACACCCGCTTATTCACCTCACATGTAACGTGACTGCGTACCAGTCGGCTCGATCGGACAGTGATCTACCAGAAGCCCAAAGGATCCAACAACATGTCAGGGAAGGAGCGAACGAGAGGCCGTCAACGAGGAAGGCACGCTACTTCGCTTCGACTTCAACGCTCACTTTCCCCCTTGGCTTCACTCAACACCAGCACCACCAGCTGACACTCGCTCTCTCTGACTTGGTACCAACGCTTCATACCGATCCGGGTCGCTGCACATGAGCACAACGATGGTCGACTCCAACATGGAGAGCTCGGCGGCGGACGCTGACTTCTGCATGTCTGAGAATTCGACGGCCACCGTCGTTCAGCCAGGCGATCCGCAAGTACATGTACCAGGACTAAGGGTTCTGCTCCGTGACTTGCCTGTGGAGCTCCTCTAAGAGATCATGCTGCGCACCGATATGCTGCCTACTGTACGACTTGTTTGCAAGTGGCTCGAAGTAGCCTCACCAGACGCGTTCAAGGTCGAGTATTTCAGCTCCCCGGGATATTTGTGCACGACCACGCTCGATGGTTAAGATCTGGCAGGTCCATCTGAGCTGTAGCATCCTGGAGTTACGAAGTAGCTGCGACGTCCCTCTGATACTATGGGAGGATGAGGATAGTTCTCTACTGGACAAACGATACTACTACGATGTCTTGGCCTTCGGGCATATGGAGGCGATCAACAGCCGCGTTCAGCAGCCTGCGCGTACGCTTAATGTTCTGAGGAAAGTGGCCCATGTACCAACGCTTGCGCCAATCAAAGTCGATCTACTTCGACATGGCGATTACGTTCTCGATGGGGAACACGGCGGTCGCAGGCTGGACCACCCAGATCATCGACTCCTTTTCGTTGGACTAGCGATCCAAGGTTTACGCTTGCAGTCACTTGCCTTCGACATCAATAGCATGCATGATCTCGGGGACTTGATGAGCAGCCCATTTTCAGGGCTCGTGCTGTACATTTGTGGCTCAATCAATCAGATCGTACTAGAGTCGAATCGGATCACGGAAAGCGATCATACCTTTGAGGAGACTGTCAAGCAAACTGAAGTCGCAATTGCATTGATTAAAGCCTCGGAAGCACTGCATACCTTGGAGATCTCTCTGTGCGACTTCTCGGGCTTGGACGGCATCTCTGCGAGAGTCCTTCTGGCGAATAGCCTTGTTCACTTACAGGTGTTGTGCTGCACCAAAGGCGAATTCAACATCAGTGACGTCATGACCGCGCTAGAGCGTGCGCAGACGCTGCGCTGGCTCTCGGTCGTCAATCCGCAGGTTGTGAATCTGAAGGTCGGGTGGCATGACTTCGTCGTCGCTCTTCAAGCCGAATCGTCGTTGGCGTACCTTGACTTGGATCTGATTCATGATGGCGAGGACTGTATAGTGTTCGACGAGCG